GAAAAGAAACATCACACAACATACACCTCATACCGACTGCAATCGGTAATCTAACTGGGATATTTAGTGCGATTAAGACCGACGAAAGAAAGAAGCTATATACTGGAAGTATAGTAGTAACAGTATAAGAGTCCCTTCCAAGGGTCAATGAAACTGTTGGATCAAGATTTAGAAAACCAAGGTCATACTTTATCTTTTGTGTCAAATAGTAAATTATTCATAACTCAAAAGTGTTCATTTCACCTGAGTTGATTCTGCAGTTCCTTTTTAAGACTCTTAAGCCATTATGTCTTCCATAGTGTGGTCTGATTATGAGAAATGTCAGGTGGTGCAGAAAAATCTTCCTTATGTTCCTTATTGGGGTGTCTGTGAAAATCCATCCTTGTTTGTAAACGTTTTCTATCCTGTTTTACCAATGTAAGATCCCCTTTACTACATTTAATGCATTGGATGAGGTACACAACATTACTAGAGATGCAGCTGTATGTGATATTGAAGGTCCCATTTGTGTGTGTGTGACACTTTTTAATAGATTGATTCTTTTATTTGTGACTTCATATTCAGAAATAAAGTTTCCCACGGATTATTTTATGTCTGTGGTTGAATGGTGTCCGAAAGCCAGTATTGAGGGTTGTTGGAATACGTGTTCTTTCAGAGCTTTCATCTTCTATTATAAATAAAAATGTAGCGCTACTTACTGCATATAAAATGTTAAACCGTTGTTATTATAAACCCACAAATATGTGTATCAAATGATAATTTATATAATATATAAATTATCATATAATATATCATTTAATAATAATAATACCAATATCGTGCCCTTTTAAGTGGAAATTTTCATAAATAAAAAATATCATCAGTGATAGGTGAACCAAAACCAAGTTTTAAAAACAGTGATAGTTGATCAAACGTTGAAATATAAAATGGAACTAGATAAATTAGTAAGAAGAGGATTTGAGAAGGAATATTTAAACAAAAAAGAAGCCAGATACTTAGTACCAGAGGTATGTAGAATACCGATTATTATACTATTCCCAAGATACATAAGAATAGAGATAAACCGCCAGGACATCCCATAGTGAATGTGATTGGGTCCCTGCTAGCACGGGTTAGGACAATATGTTGATGTGTTTTTAAAAAAGTTAGTTAAGGAAACAGGTCCTACTTGAGAGATACGAAGCATCTCATACAAGTTGCTTGACGGAATAGAAGAAGATTTGTTAGTAGCGTTATTTATGGCCATGGCAGATGTATCATCCCTGTATACAATTATAGGGGGGGGGGGCGGGGGGGGCCATAGGGAAGGTATGGAAGCCACAGAGTGGGGTTTAAGAAAATATGGAAAATTTCACAGGAAGACAAAGGAAATTATATTTTAGAGAGTCCTTGAATTTTGTCTGACACATAATTATTTTTGGTTTAGCAATTCTTTTATTAATCAATTAAAGGTGCAGCTATGGGGGCCCGTTTTGCCCTAGTGTGGCTAATTTATTTATGGCCCATTGGGAGGAAGAGGCAGTATATTTCAGGACCCCCTAAAGAATTATTATTGTATAACAGGTATATAGATGATGTCATGGTGTTATGGAACGGCAAGGAGGAGGATTTATTACGTTTTTTAAATAAATTTTTAAATGCTAATAATAAAAATATTCATTTTACTTGGGAACATGATCTCTGAACATATTAGTTTTTTAGATTTGGATATTAGTATCAGACAAGGGAAGTCACCACCAAGACGTTTAAGAGTGTGGATAGGAATGGGTACATTCCGCAAAGTAGTTGCCCATTTTTCCATCATGGCTACTTAAAGTACCGAAGGGCCAAATAATTAGACGTTAGGAGGAACTGTACAACACAAGAAGATTCTATCATCAGCAAGAGACCTAGGTCAAAGATTTGTGGATAAAGGTTATTCCAATCTGAAATTAATAAGGTGATCCATGAAATAGGAGATACTGATAGGAATTTGTTCCTTAAAGATCAAAAAGGAAGATAAAAAGGATGATAAAGTAGATCAGTTGGCCGTATTTTTAGATTTTAATATTCATTTTAAAAAGCTGCTTTGAGAATGTTTTTAGAAGACATTGGCCCATTACTGAGAGTGGATCCAGTTTTAAAGGATATAATATCGGAGTTCCAGTATTGTTGTTTTTAGATATAGAAAAGCCCCATCTATATTATAGAAAGTTGTGAAAGTGTGTTCTTAACCCTCCTGTCTTAAATAAAAAAGTCACGTTTTTAGATCAAAAAGGTTTTTTCTCATGTAGGCATGTTATGCTTGTAAAGCTACACAAGCAAAGAACAAAAAAGGAATGGTTTCATTTCATCTAAAAATAGAGAGTATAATATATGATGAATTTATTTCATGTAGGACTGAGGGTGTCGTTTACGCCCTACTTTGTAGTTGCGGTTTACAATATATAGGAAGAACTAAGAGACCCCCCTCTGGGTCAGATTACGGGAGCACGTACAGAATATAAGAAAAGGGTTCCCGAAACATAGTGTGTCGAAGCACTTTGTTTAAATATCATAATAAGACCCTAAGGATCTGATGTTTTGGGGAATCACTAAATATAAGAAGTAGAGATGAGCGACGAAGAATTGAAAAAATTCGATTCGACTGATTCGGCAAATTCGTGGACAATATTCGATTCGAGATCGAATATATTCGCTGTGAATTAAACTTAAAAAAGGGTGTTTAAAGGCTTCAGAGAGACTTAATATTAGTGCAGAAACACTGTACCTTTAATTTAAATGCCCTTGGAGTCTGCTGGGGAAGAGAAATAATACTGTCAGTCAGTATGACATGCAGATGAGTGCCGTCGATCTTAGAAATCACCGCACACTTCACTCATTTGGCCAGTCACGGGGCCAAAACCAGTGTTTGGAGCCACAGTGTGGCGGTGGAGGCAGCAGCAATGGGAGGCCATACAGCAACCTATGACAAAATGGAAAAAACCCAGCAGGAGTGTGAGGAGACCTCAAAGTGGCACATGGCAGAGAGAGTGGAAGCAATGGGAGGCCGTACAGGGACCCAGGTCACACTGTGGGACCAGCAGCAGCGTGACCAGGCGGAGTTTTACGGTGGGACCATGGCCGATTTAACGGGGGCCCTGGGCCTGGCGGCACCTATGGGAGGCCTGTAATCTGCCAGCAACCTATGTCAAATATGTACACTTATTAACCAGCAGGAGTGTGAGGAGACCTCAAAGTGGCACATGGCAGAGTGGAAGCAATGGAGGCCGTACTGAGGGACCCAGGTCACACTGTGAGGTCCTCAGCAGCAGCTGGGCACACCAGGCGGTCATGTACACGGGACTGCACCATGGCCGATTTGGGGGCCTGGCTCGGGGCCTTGGCACCTATGGGAGGCCTGTAATCTGCGTCAACACCTATGTCAAAATGGAAAAGCACAGGATGTGTGAGGAGACCTCAAAAGTGGCACATGGCAGAGTGGAAGCAATCATTTGGAGGCGACCGTAATCAGGGACCTAGGTCACACTGTGGGACCAGCAGCAGACATAGTGACCAGGCGGTACGGGGGCCCATGGCCGATTTGGGGGCCTGGCGGCGGCACCTATTGGGAGACCTGTAATCTGCCAGCAACCTATGTCAAAATGGAAAAAAAAGCACAGGAGTGTGAGGAGACCTCAAAGTGGCACATGGCAGAGTGGAAGCAATGGGAGGCCGTACAGGGACCCAGGTCACACTGTGGGCTCAGCAGCAGCGTGACCAGGCGGTACGGGGGCCCATGGCCGATTTGGGGCCTGGCGGCACCTATGGGAGGCCCGTAATCTGCCAGCAACCCTATGTCAAAATGGAAAAGCACAGGAGTGTGAGGAGACCTCAAAGTGAATCATGGCAGGGTGGAAGCCAATGGGAGGCCGTACAGGGACCCAGGTCACACTGTGGGACCAGCAGCAGCGTGACCAGGCGGTACGGGGGCCCATGGCCGATTTGGGCCTGGCGGCACCTATGGGAGGCCTGTAATCTGCCAGCAACCTATGTCAAAATGTAAACCGCAGGAGTGTGAGGAGACCTCAAAGTGGCACATCGAATATAAAGCCAGAGTGGAAGCAAATGGGAGGCCGTACAGGGACCCAGGTCACACTGTGGGCTCAATAAGCAGCGTGACCCAGGCGGTACGGGGGCCATGGCCGATTTGGGGCCTGGCGGCACCTATGGGAGGCCTGTAATCTGCCAGCAACCTATGTCAAAATGGAAAAGCACAGGAGTGTGAGGAGACCTCAAAGTGGGCACATGGCAGAGTGGAAGCAATGGTATTGGGAGGCCGTACAGGGACCCAGGTCACACTGTGGGACCAGCAGCAGCGTGACCAGGCGGTACGGGGCCCATGGCAGATTTAGGACCTCGTTCATACCCCATAGTCTGCCGACTCACGAATAGCGTGGCCTCCTCAAAGGGCCTGAGCAAGCGCAGGTGTCACGCATGAGCTGCCAGCATGGCCTGACATCTAAGTTACACAGGGAGTACCTTTATCCGCTTTAACATCAGGAAAAAAATGTCAAAAAATTCAACACATCCAGCAATGATGAAGAGACCTGAATGTGGCACATGGCAGAGTGTGGCGATGGATAACAGCAGCAATGGGTAAAGGCCGTACAGGGACCATATGACAGACTCTGGGACTTGGCAGCAGCATGAGGAGGCGGTATATAGGGGGCCATGGCAGATTAGGGGCCTGGCAGCCAGCAGCTATGGGAGGCCCGTAATCTGCCAGCACCCTATGTCAAAAATTCAACACAACCAGCAGTGTGTGAGGAGACCTGAAAGTGGGCACATGGCAGAGTGTGGCGATGGAGACAGCAGCAATGGGAGGCCGTACAGGGACCCATGAGAGACTCTGGACTTGGCAGCAGCATGAGGAGGCGGTATATAGGGGCCCATGGCAAGATTTGGGGCCTGGGCAGCAGCTATGGAGGTCCATAATCTGCCAGCACCCTATGTCAAAAAATTCAACACAACAGCAGTGTGTGAGGAGACCTGAAAGTGGCACATGGCAGAGTGTGGCGATGGAGACAGCAGCAATGGGAGGCCGTACAGGGACCCATGAGAGACTCTGGACTTGGCAGCAGCATGAGGAGGCGGTATACTAGGGGCCCCATGGCAGATTAGGGGCTAGGGCAAGCAGCTATGGGAGGCCCGTAATCTGCCAGCACCCTATGTCAAAAAATTCAACACAACAGCAGTGTGAAGAGACCTGAATGTGGCACACATGGCAAGCGAGTGTGGCGATGGAGACAGCTGGCCAGCAGCAATGGGAGGCCCGTAATCTGCCTGCACCCTATGACAAAAAATGGAACACACCAGCAGTGTGTGTGAGGAGACCTGAAAGTGGCACATGTTGGCAGGGGCATGATTCATGGCGGATTTAGTCAGTTGTGTCAGGAACTGGTGGTTTGAAATCCAGACTAATCCACGCCTGATTCATTTTCACAAACGTGAGTCTCTCCACACTTTGGGTGGACAGTCGTGTCCTTCGCGGAGTTACAATACCTCCTGCCGCACTAAACACGCGCTCCGATGCCACGCTACTGGCCGGGCATGACAGCCTTTCAAGGGCAAATTCAGCTAGTTGGGGCCAAAGGTCAAGTTTCGTTGCCCAGTAGTCAAGGGGATTGTCTACCTCGGTTGGCAGGGTGCTGTCCAAGTAGGCCCAAGCCTGTTGTTTAAGGTCCTGCTCCAGGTCCACCTGATGCTGCTGCTGCTGCTGCGGCTGGTTAGTAGTTTCCTCACTGCGCTGGTGAAGAAAGCTACTCATCATCGACTGCAGACTGAGGCAGCCGCTGCTGGTGGAGCTGCCACTGCTCCTACCACCCCACCCCTCCCCTGCTGCCATGGCAGCGGAACGCGAGCGCACAGGGCCCACAGTGTCTGAGGATGGACGTTGGCGCACAAAGGCAGAGACCAACTGACTACATTAGGTGGTTTTTTATATACGTAATTTTGGCCTCCCTCTCAGCAGGTGTGAAAAAGGCCACCATTTTGGAACGGTAGCGAGGGGTCCAACAAGGTGGACAGCCAAAAGTCATCCCTCTGTCTGATGGTTATTATTCGGTCTGTCGCTACGCAAGCAACAATCCGAGCATGCTATGGGCCATTTGTGCCAAGGAATGCGAGGGGACTCCCTGCCTCCATCTCCACAGCATACTGCCACGGTGCGTCTGGGTCCTCTGTCTCCTCCTCCTCCTCCTCTACCAGATGCTCCTGCTCCTCCACTCCTGTCCGCTGAGTGGAAAAAACCACCCATTTCACTCAATAATTCCTGAGCACAAATGTCCTCCTCTACCTCCTCCTCTTCTTCCTGTCCTGCCCCCACAGGGGTCATGTGGCATTGAGATCTGTGCGCCACGTCTACCGCACCCTGACCAGCCATTGTTAACAGCATTTGTTCCAGGACGTGCAACAGAGGAATGACGTCGTTCATCCCCATAGTCCTGCCGACTCACGAATAGCGTGGCCTCCTCAAAGGGCCTGAGCAAGCGGCAGGTGTCACGCATGAGCTGCCAATGGCTGACATCGAAGTTACACAGGGAGAAGTACCTTTATCCGCTTGTAACATCAGGAAAATCGGCGATGGCCTTTCGCTGCTCGTTAAAGGCGGTCTAACATGTGTAGGGTTGAATTCCACCTTGTTGCAACGTCGCAGATCAGGCGATGCTGTGGAATTCCGTTCTGCCGCTGCAGCTCAATGAGGGTGTTCTTTGCGGTGTAGGAATGGCTGAAATGCATATGCACAGTTTACGTGACATTTTAAGGATGTCTTGCAGTGGGATGGTGGATTTTAGGAACCGCTTGACAACCAGATTGAACACGTGAGCCATGCATGGCGCATGGCACAACCTTCCTTGACGCAGAGCAGGACCATGTTCTTTCCGTTGTCGGTCAACATGGTTCCGATTTTCAGTTTGAGCGGAGTAAGGACAGCCATCTGTCGATTTCTCTGTTCATTACACTCAGAAGTTCCTCCCCTGTGTGACTACGTTCGCCAAGGCATACTAGGTGCAGCACAGCGTGACACCGTTGCGCCCTGCACATGTGATATGCCGGTCGGGGTAATGGGACTTGGCACTTGGCACGGGGGGTGGCGGCTGAGGACACGGCGGAAAAAGAGGTGGTGGTAGAGGCGGACATGTTTGCTGGTGGACCAAGGACGTGCAAACGTGGAGGCAAAAGCGTCGTGACCTGTCCAAGTTGCTGGTGCGGCTGTGCCGGCACCACGTTCACCCAGTGGGCCGTAAATGACATGTACTGTCCCTGACCGTAGTTTACAGCTCCACACGTCGGCGCTGCCGGCCGTGCACTTTGGCAGAGACCGACATGCTCAAAGACTGGCCCACCCATCTCTTCTACATGTGAATGCAGGGCTGGCACTGCCTTTATGGCGAAGAAATGACGGGCTTGGCACTCTCCACCGCGGCGCGGCACAAGCCATCATTTCTCGGAAAGGTGCTGAGTCCACCACTTGGAAAGGGAGGGACTGCAGCACCAGCAACTTGGACAGGAGGACGTTCAGCTTTTGCACCGTCGGTGTGCGTGCTCGCAAACTGTTGTCTCTTGGAAACGGATTCCAAGAAAGACTGTTGACGGAATCCGAGAAGAGGAGTAGCAGGAGAAGGAGCATTCTGAACGAGCGGAAGATGCCAACGAGCGACAACTCCCCTCAGCAGAGGTGTTGGAGCCTTGACTGGCTGATAGAGGGGACGTCGGGTGACGGAGCAAGTAACGGAGCGCGGTGTGATGGAGCGGGGGCTGGGGCAGGCAGAACCGCCGTATCTTTATCACGGTTTTCCCAGGCCACCGAATGGTGATGCTGCATATGCTGACGCAACGCTGTAGTGCCAACATGGCCCCCCTGGCCACGCTTGCATTTCTGGCCACATAGTCGACATACGGCTACGTTTTACTTCCTCGGGCGGCTTGACGAAAAATTGCCACACCACTGAGTAGGAAACTTTGCCCCCGCTACTCCTCTCATGGCTGACTGCTACTTCCTCCGTGCGCACACCGGCACCACTACTGGCCGTGGTGGTAGGCTGCAGTGGAGCTGGTGCTCTACTCCGTGGACGTTTGGCTCCACTGACACTGATGCGACCCTGCTGCCTCCTGGGCAACCCACCGACTGTTTCGCTCGCTGCCAAGCTGCCACCCTCTTCTCCTGATGATGCGGAAGAAATTGCCTGATGACGACGAGGCAGCCAAGTGCGATCAACCTCCTCATCATCAAGTAGGGTCTCCGCCTCACTACTAGCCCCCTCGGCTGCGTCTGGGTCAGGAGACAGACCTGTCTCTAGACCGGCTACCGAGCCACTCTCCTCGCCAGTACTTCTTCGCCTGGCTGCTGAAAAGGCGGATGTCTCCCCCCGTTCCTGACCGCCCTCTGTTAGCTCTTCCTCACTGTACAGTGGGGCTGAGCCCACAGCATGCGATACTTCGCTTGGTGAGGGAACAGCAAAGGACAGGGGCAGGTAGAGGACATGTGATTTCAGTGGGCTTGCTCCCGGGCCATGCCCAACTAACGGTTGTGTCTGACGTACCCACCAACCGTTGGATGCTTAGGTGTCAGAGGTGACCTGGGAAGAGGAAGAAGACGACCGAGCCAACCAATCGATGACGGCAGGGTTGTCGGTGGAGACACGACCGCTGGATGACACTGGGAGCACTGGCCTCTGGCTGCGAATAGTGCTGCCTCGACCCTTCCTCTGCTGCCACGTTACTGCTCGCTCCTAAAACATTGCCTCCTCTGCCACTCCTCTGCATGTTGTCTGACATACTCTTTAATCAACGATTATGTGTCCCGAGTAACAATTCTGTTTCCCTGAGTAACAATTCTGTGTCTGTGCGGACAGTCAGAGTAGTAACAATTCTGTGGCCCTAAGTAACAGTTTCTGTGGCCCTCAGTAACAATTCTGTGGCCTGATTAAAACGTTTATGTGGCCCTAGTAACGGTTCTGTGGCCCTCAGTAACAATTCTGTGTCCCTGAGTAACAATTCTGTGTCTGTGCCTAAGTAACAATTCTGTGGCCCTAAGTAACAGTTCTGTGTCCCACTCAGTAACAATTCTGTGTCCCTGAGTAACAATTCTGTGTCTGTGCCCTAAGTAACAATTCTGTGGCCCTAAGTACAGTTTCTGTGGCCCTCAGTAACAATTCTGTGTCCCTGAGTAACAATTCTGTGTCTGTGCGAGTAAGTAACAATTCTGTCGCCCTAAGTAACAGTTCTGTGGCCCTCAGTAACAATTCTGTGTCCCTGATTAACGTTTCTGTGGCCCTAAGTAACGGTTCTGTGGCCCTCAGTAAACAATTCTGTGTCCCTGAGTAACAATTCTGTGTCTGTGCGAGTAACAATTCTGTGGCCCTAAGTAACAGTTCTGAGGCCCTGGTAACATTCTCCGAGTAACAATTCTGTGTCCTTGAGTAACAATTCTGTGGCCCTAAGTAACGGTTCTGTGGCCATCAGTAACAATTCTGTGTCCCTGATTATACGTTTATGTGGCCCTAAGTAACGGTTCTGTGGCCCTCAGTAACAATTCTGTGTCCCTGAGTACAATTCTGTGTCCCTGCGAGTAACAATTCTGTGGCCCTAATGTAACAGTTCTGTGGCCCTCAGTAACAATTCTGTGTGTCCCTGAGTAACAATTCTGTGTCTGTGCAGAGTAACAATTCTGTGGCCCCTAAGTAACAGTTCTGTGGCCCTCAGTAACAATTCTGTGTCCCTCAGTAACAATTCTGTGTCTGTGATTAAGTAACAATTCTGTGCCCTAAGTAACAGTTTCTGTGGCCCTCAGTAACAATTCTGTGTCCCTGATTAACGTTTCTAGTAACAATTATGTGGCCCTAAGTAACGGTTCTGTGGCCCTAAGTAACAATTCTGTGTCCCTGAGTAACAATTCTGTGTCTGTGCGAGTAACAATTCTGTGGCCCTAAGTAACAGTTCTGTGGCCCTCAGTAACAATTCTGTTCTGTGTCCCTGTTTAACGTTTCTGTGGCCCTAAGTAACGGTTCTGTGGCCCTCAGTAACAATTCTGTGTCCCTGATTAACGTTTATGTGGCCCCTAAGTAACGGTTCTGTGGCCCTCAGTAACAATTCTGTGTCCCTGAGTAACAATTCTGTGTCTGTACCGAAAGTAACAATTCTGTGGCCCTAAGTAACAGTTCTGTGGCCCTCAGTAACAATTCTGTGTCCCTGAGTAACAATTCTGTGGCCCTAAGTAACGTTTCTGTGGCCCTCAGTAACAATTCTGTGTCCCTGATTAACGTTTCTGTGGCCCTAAGTAACGGTTCTGTGGCCCTCAGTAACAATTCTGTGTCCCTGAGTAACAATTCTGTGTCTGTGCGAGTAACAATTCTGTGG